CCTGTATGAAAATTAAAACATTAAATAGCTTATTTACAAGAATAAACAAAATTAACTACGCAAATATAATGTTATTCTTATTATTTATAATTTTTTCTTGCAATTAGTAACATCAAAGTTTGTGCTGTGATATGTGATGTATACAATATGGGTTCATAAATATAATGCACATTATAATAAGGCCTAATCTGTAAATAATTTGTGTTGGTTTTGACTATGATACCATTCACTTATGATTGTTATATGAGTTTCAGTATTAGTTCTTAGCTATAGCTGAATACCATCATCATCAATATCTTTCTTCAAGGAAATTCAAAATATTATATTTCATACCGATTTCTTTGGGAGAATTTTCCGCATTCTTGTAGTACCATTTACCACTTTCCATATAAATCAGATAGCAGTTACTATCATCATGTGCACACACAAATCTGCTAAGAAGAATATCCATCGACATTTTTCAGAATGATGCCCTTTTTACGCAGTCCCCATTAAGATAAGCTAATTAGGCCTATACAAAATTATAACACCGTATCATTAAGTGTAGTAATAATATTAAATTTAAGATTCTGAGTACACGTAAACCAATACTTACTTACGGGCACTTTGTTTCCACAACGTCTAGACATGAATATTTCCAGATGAGAAACAATAAGAATTTACTAAATCGTCGCATATTTTTTAAGGTCTTAGAACCAACTGCTGTACATAGACTGAGTCCTCAATGATTATGACACCCTAATTTAAATATGTCGTAGTCAATTGTTTTGATAACCGTTTCACTTTTGATAGACGTTAACGAGTTACTTTTTTTAGTTATAAATCTAATGTATAATTAGGCTAGTATAGAGCATATGTATGTTTATACAGTTTCCTGGTTAACTGATGCATGCATGAATGAACGTTTTTGAACATCCAATAATATATAAGAATGGTTTCAACGATGCTAAGAAACGTTTTATGGAAATTGATTATAAAAAATAGTAAAGATATAGAAATAGAAAGATAGAGAATGCAGCTCAAACATACTAGCCCATTTGTTTTTATTCTCGTTTGACAACGGACCACTTGAAAAACTATTTTTCATATTATATTCTCGGTGGTTTACTAAATACCGTAACACCTCGAATTGAAGCCCAGTGGGCTTAACCTCGAGAGGAAGCCCACCTCGAATTGAAGCCCCCTCTTTAGTTTGCAAAATTAGCCTAAAAAAGAAGCCCATCTTGAAAAGAAGTCCATGGGCTTCTTTTCATGATAGCATAGGCTTCTTTTCGAGATAGTACAGTATATAGGTCTACACTGTACATGAATTTCAAAAAAACAAAATAAATTAAAAACAAGCTTAATTGGTTTATACAGACGTTTAGATGATTTAATGCCAGTTTAATACACTCCATGATACAGATTGATGTTACAGTAGCCGTATTTATTGATTTATAGTACAAATTCGCAAAATTTACAGTACTCATTTTGAAAAGAAGCCCCCTCTCTTTTACTATGCAAAAGTAGCCTCGAAAAGAAGCCCATCTCGAAATGAAGCACATCTCGAAAAGAAGCTCATCTCGAAATGAAGCACATCTCGAAAAGAAGCCCATCTAAAGTTCGCAAGAAAAAGAAGCCTAGGGCTTCAATTCGAGGTTTTTTGGTAGTCGGTAGGAGCTGTGATAAATGCTGTAATTACAAATAATGGTTTATTGTTGAGGTCTTGCAAACCTCAATCAAAATGTTACAGCCACATTCCTGCTATAGGTTCTATAAAAGCGTCTGATATGAACAATTTTTCGATACACGCCCTCATACCATGTGTGATCACATTCGACCGCATTGGGTGTATTTTGTTTTCCAAGCCTCGAATCTTTTACATTTCTCTCTCTGTCCTATTATGACAAAATCATTGTGCCTTTGTAGTTGTTAATTTTTTAATTTTATTAATTTTTACACTGCAGTTTTAAAGTTTTATATCAGTGTTTACGCCCGTTTTGTTATACTCCACACACTATTGTATTTTTTTTTCTGTAATTGTTTGAAATCAATGTAATTGCCTAGTGTGAATAAGTAGATAAGTAAATGAAAATTCATTCTTATTTGATAGATATTACAAATAATATTTTACAAAATTGCGTCATAAAAACAATGAAACATTCAAAGAGCGACTAAACCAGTCATAAAGCACGACACTTAAAAGCACAGAAGCTTAAGAATTAAAATAATATCTTTGCTACCCCAATGGAATAGGTGTGTAGTATACAAGAAAGTAAAATGCATATATATGCAGGCTAAGCGGCTTTTATATACTTCTTGTTACTGGAACTAGCGGCGCCAAAATCCTACTTTCGTAAGGTTAGGAGTAAGCAGATACATGTGTTACATGCAAAGCACAAACAGAAAATAGGAAACACAATAGCTTAGTATTATATACGATATGTACATTTATTATTAAAAACATAGATACATTATTATTAAAAGAGAACAAAATGATGGTGGTAAAACACAACTAAATACTTTAAGATGCTCGAAAAATTACAGAATTAGCTGAGCCCACGGCTAAGTAAGTTGGATCAACGACTGGTGTCCGAGACCGGCAAGGTCTATAGATAAACTTAATGAACTACGGCAGACAGCAGACTTGTAATAAAGTTGATGA